TTATTAGAGATTAATAATCTGTTGTTTAAAGTCATCTCATTGATACTTTGAATTGACTCTAGCATAGTAGATCTTAATCTTTTATATGAACTGTGTTTATTAATTATCTTTAAAGATTTTATGTATATTTGTAATTGAATAGATTCGTTTTCTCTTAATGATTGTAATCCTTTAGAAGCAGTCTATCATCATAATATTTTAACTGAGATTTTATATATCTATTGGATTCTGTTTGCACTTTAAATAGTTTTGTTCAAAAAGGTGGTTTTATTAAAAAAAAGATTTTTGTTTAAAAATATAAGCTATTGATAAACTGTTTTTATTTAAAATTATTTTTCTTATACTTAATATAAAATGTAAAAATCCACAAAAAGCTGTATTAATCATTAAATAAATTTGTAATAAAAAAGTGTGATTTATTCAGAAATGGTCAAAAATAGTGTAACAGTTGAATTTTACTCTCTCATATACATCACTTCAATAACTGAATCAGATCAATCATTTTCTGATCAAGAAATTCCAAAACATTATTATAAAATAAAAAAATTTTATATTTACTATACATATTAATATCTTTCTGATTTATAATATATGCATATTAAAAAAATACAAGCAAAGCTTTATTAGTACTATAGATAATAGCTAAATGCTAATACATAAAAATAATTTTTATATTCCCAAACATTGATGATAAAATTTTCACATATATGAATAAGTCAAATTAAATCTTTGTCCAGTGATCCTAGACAAAGTGATTCAGAATATAAGGATGGTATTTTTCTGGTATAGATTCAACTTCAGTTTTATGTACCTTTTTGTCTTCTTACTCATCAATTTAACAGTCCATAAAATATTAGCCTACAATAACAAAGACAAAATACCGTCAATTTTATGTAAGAAGAATTTATAAATACTTAATATAATTCTGCAATGAACTATTTATTATTGATGTCAGTAACCACTTGAAGAATAAAATATAATTTCATGAACAAATACTTACAAGTGTTTCATTATATCTTGTGCAATATCATGCCTTTTGTGAGCAAAGGGATTAAAACGTTCTGTAATAAAGGACTTGCGCACTAAAGTGAAGAGCTGTAAATGATTATACATATCATCTGTAAACTGGTTACAATAACTGTTGAACTCAGTAGTTGAAGTCTATATTTTTTTATTGAGAATCCAATTAAACCATTGTTATTTTCTGTTCAATTCATTTAATGCTGATCGTATCATTTCTTTCACATTACCATTCGTTATATCTATAATTCTGTTTATAAAATTCAAGCTTAGTTTTGCCTAATTTAAGGTCCTCAGATTGGTATTGATGGAGAATTCAAAGTATTCCAAATTGTCAATTCAATGGCTTTCAAACCCTTCATTTTCTAAATATTGAACAAAAGTAAATACATTAGTTATAAATATAAAGCAAAGGCTAGTTACCTTAGATAATTCATTGTGATCTGATATGGGATCATTATTAGATGTTTTATTGTGATCTGAAATGGGATCATTATCAGCTAAAAAAATGTTCAGGTTTATTCTAAAACAAATAACTTTAGACATTATTTTTGAACAATGCGATGTTTGTTTGATTTATTATATACTTTTCCTAGTACTCTATCTTCTTCGATATTATCTCTAATTTCAAAATCTATTTAATGTAAAAAATTTAACTGAGTCAACAAAGGAAAAAAATGAGGAGCTGTAATTTTAATAATAAATTAATAAATATATGATTATAGTCACCTTATATTATCCTTCTTGCCGAAAACTAAAACATCGTTTGTTTTGTCCTGTATTTTGTTAATTTGGTCAATAATTCTTTCAGTATTTTTTATAGTCTTTTTCTTAAGTAAAGTTTGAAGGTTTCTCTCTTGCAAAATTTTCAAACCTCAGAAGAATGCTTTTCTACCTAAAAAGTAAGTTATAATAATTATAATTATTTATATCCAATCACAGGAATTATTATTGTTGATTTTTACATCTAGAGGTGAACTCCTGACTTGACGGACTCGACCTAGCACCAGTGTGCCCACCAACTCGATGGCAGGATTATTAGACTCAACCAAATACTTTCTCTAAATAATATATTAAAAGTAATAAAAAAAATTTTTTAAATACTTCTCTCGTATGTTAACAGTGCTTGTTCAGCCTTTTCCCTGTTTTTCTGCGATATCTTTTCATTATTCTTAATTACATTCAGAATTATTCTATATTTGCAGTGTAGTTCAAAGCTGTTATCCAAGCTTTTTATCAAATCAAGGTACTTTAAAAAGTTCAAGAGGCTCCATTCTTCTGACTGATCAAAGAATAACTCTGAAAATGTGAAACACAAGATATAACTAGAAATTTAACAAATATAATTAGATAGTTAATTTTATTGGTTGAAAATTAAATCACGTGATTAAAATTTTGACAATATTTTATCAATTTAATTTAATTTTATTTTATGATCAACCTCAAAAATTGCTTGGCCGTTCTATTTATCAATGTTCAAAAATTCTTCAGATTTTTGAACATTAACTTAAATAGCTTAATAAATCAAAAGATCACAGAATATTAACTTTTTATCCTATTTACAATTATATGATATTATTTGTTTTTCTCATTATATGTCTATTGTAGAAAGTAATAAAATATATCAGAATTATAAGATAATTTGGAACCTGAAAGAATATCTCTAGCTTCTAAAATTTAAAAAATGATATCTGTTTTTTATCAAGGTGGAATGAAGAATTGTTAAATAATAATGAAATAGAAAATATACAAATAAATTTAATGAATGACTTCAAAGAATTAATAATTAGTAAATACCTTTAATTTTTAATATGTTTTAAACTATTAAAATAATAAATAATATTGGCAAAAGTTTTTTTTAATAATCTTTCAAAAAAAAAATGTTAAAACTTTCTTTATTCATCTTATAAAAATTGCAATTTTCGCTCTTAAATGAAGTTTTAAATTATGATATATTGTGATATAATAAATAATACGTTAAGAATAATAAAAAAAATAGCTGCATAAAATTTGAATAGGGGTTATTATGCTTCAATCCAAACTTGTAATCTGCCAATCATTAGAACTTTAAGTGGATCTGTTAATTTGGGTTGCATTCATATTAATGTAATTTTTCCAAAAGCATATATTCTACCTTTAATATAGCGAAGTAATGATTCTATTTCTCAAATTCGTTATAGCAAGTTAGGGGAAAATTGATATATTTAATTAGTAAAGCATTATGTAATTTATTATATCAAATTTCACTATATTAAGGGTAAACTGTATTCTAATATTGATCTTGCAAATTATATAAAAAGGATTAGTGTTCTTTTATGCTTTTAAATATAGAAAAAAATTCACATGACTGTAATTTCAATCAGAACCCCTACCAAAATCTTATTACTATATTATGTGACTAGGCAGTAATTTAGTGAAGTATCATATTTGCTATAAAAAAATCAAAATATCTTCACATTAAGCAATAAATTTCATGAATATAAAGCAAATTAGAATGTTATAAAAATAAATAGTGATAAGCTTGAATCAGAAATATTGCATTTTCATTTAACCTAATTACTAATTTTCCAAATTCATGCTATAGTCTCAAAATTACTTCAGCAAAGTTCTCTTTTAGAAAATATTATTTTACATAATCTGTGTAAGTGGTAATGATATAGTTAAGTGTAGATATTGGTGGATAATTTATTTCAAAAATCTAGTATAGTTATCAATAGAAGTAGAAACAAATAGTTATAGATAAATATGAGAGAGCAAAGAAATAACTTGATACTGGGACTCCCTCTTTGATAGCATCATAAATTTCATTCGCTTCTCTAGAAATCATTAATAAAGTTTTATTCAGAAAAAACTGTTATGATCATAATCATGTCATCATGATAAGTGATAAGTGATGTCATGATCATAAATAAGAATCAATTTTACCAATTTCATAATTCTTTAAAAGATAATTTCTCTAGAATTTTTTTTGATTTATATTTGTAAAGAATGCAATGACTGACTCTACTTCTTCAACTTTTACGTTAGTCTCCATTATGAGGTTAAAACTTTAATGATTATGAAAAAAATTAACTCCAATATACTTATTTTTCTCTTTTAGAAATACTGGAACTGTGACCCAAATTCATGGGGAAGTTTAACTGACTAGAATATTTATTTTATCGAAAATATGAGTGGATATACAAAACAAAATACCTATAGATCATTGAATTTCAAGCTTGATATCCTTCTTAAGGATTTGCCAATTGATAACTATAGTTATTTCAAGACAGCTGCTATGAAAAAGTCTCTAGCAGTAGTGCATTTTTTTTTATCATGCTTTATCATATTTATTATAGGAGCATTTTATTATAAGAGCACATTACCATGCCTTGCAATTATTATTGAACAATTTTTTCGTATAAGGCAAAATGTTTTTTGCCTGAAGTGGGAAGTATATTATGGTTTAGGCCTTTAGGCTCCATTATAATATACGTAGGTAGCTCCATTGATATTATATTTCATCTATGACCGTGTTCTGCAATTGCTATTAAGCGATTTTTTGTACAAGGCAAAATGCTTTTTGCCTAAAGTGAGAAGTATATTATGGTCTGGACCTTTAGGTTTTATTATAATATGCGTGGCTAGACAGGCAGTTAATAGGTCATTGGTAAATGAAGTTTTTGGTCTATACTTATACTATTTTTTCTATTTCATTGTTTTCTTCAAGAATTATCATAATGATAAGTCATTATAAGAAATCATCTCTTAAAATTGGAAGCACTAGCTATCATAAACTGAGTAAATAAAGTAAGTTAGAGTTTAGTCTTTTTATATGTATATCATGACATAATGTTTATGATTTTCTTTTAATTGGTTATTATTAATGTAAAATTCAAAACATCGCTATTTAAGAAGAAATGGAGAGATATAAATCTAAGCAAATGTCAAATTTTCAGAAAGAAAGACATCAAAAAAAATTAAAAAAAAGTAAAGTTACTATGAATAAAAGTGAAATATTCTCTAGTGACAATAATGATGAAGATGATGAAGAAATTAAAATCGACCTAAAAAGAATTTCAGATGAATTGCTACATGAACCAGAAGTCAAAGTTTGTACATGATAAAATTCTGACTTCCTTTTTGTTTTATATATCTTAAAGTTTGCTTCTATTATTTAGTAAGAAATAGGTTGTATTAATATAACTGGCAGGTACAACACATTCAGACAAATTCATCCCAGATGAATGGCAACAAACTTACCAGCCAGTTCCTGATATTAATCTAAATATTTTTAATCATTTAACCTTTACGCTTTTAGCTGATGAATGGTACTATATGGTTAATTTCAGTAATACTAAGAAGAAATTATTGAGAAGGTGGAAAAAAAGGACTAAAATACAAGTATTATAAACATTTTATTATTTGGCTAGCATAGCAATCATATCAGAATATATATTAAGCAACATTTTTCTCACTATATTTAGAGTTTTATTTTCAATAATAGTATTCAGTTAACTATATCTGTATCTCACTATGTTTACAATTGAAAAATGGAAGGAAATTATAAGAACTAACCCTATATTAATGTTTCGGGCGAAACTTCTTTGTGATTGGTGAAACATTTTGCCTATTTTAGGTTTCAGTTTCAGCTATTCTGAAACTTTTGAAACCTGGCGTAATTTCTGAAATCTGGCGAAACGTCCGAAACATGGCGAAACTAAAAATGTTACGTGTATTATTTTAATTGGTGGTTAAATTTAGTGATGTTCATAAACTTTCGATTTTTTTTTTTTTATATCCAAGATGTAAAGAATTTTTATAACGCGTCGTCGCGTTTAATTATAAATAAAGTTTTTCACA